GCCGGTTGAGCTATAGGCGCCGAGCCACCAATTTTTCTTTTATGTGGTAACTCTCTTAAGGGTTTAAAACTAACTCAAGGAACTTAATGCTTTTTTCTTTTTCTTTCTTTCCTTTTTTTTCATTAAATAATTTTGTTGCACTACCATATATGACACTTTCAAACCTTTACTACTCTAGTTATACCTCAGTTTACCAACATTAAAATGTAGTACCTAGAGCTGAACACAGTCCTCTGTAGTTGGACTTAGGCAGCATACAGTGGAATACTACCTCCTTAGTTTACTAAATACCACTGAGCTTAAAATTGCAATAAACTTTTACCATATTACACTCATCTAAGTCGATTTTATTCAGTGTGCAAATGTTGTATATATTACAGTACTATGGATCACTTTAACCTTTATTTCCAAATGATCTTGCATTACTTTGATATTTATAATAATCATGATGTTTAGATCTTTTTTTTTATGTTTGGCCGGGTCTGGGTTTGAACCCGCCACCTCCAGCATATGGGGCCAGTGCCCTACCCTTTTGAGCAACAGGTGCCACCCAGTTTAGACCTTTTTTGTTGGAGGGGGAACACAGTCTTACTCTGTCCACCTGGGTAGAGTACAATGGCTTCATAGCTCACAGTAACCTCAAACTCTTGGGCTTGAGCAATCCTCTTGCCTCAGCCTCCCAAGAAGCTGGGACTACAGGCATGCACCATTAAGCCCGGCTAGTTTTTCTATTTTTTAGTGAGATGGGGTCTCATTCTTGCTCAGGCTGGTCTTGAACTCCTGAGCTACAGCAATGCACCTGCTTCAGACTCCCAGAGTGCTAGGATTATAGGTGTTAGCCACTGTGCCTGCCCTAGTTTAGACATTTTTTTTTTTTTAAAGACAAAGTCTCACTTTCTTGCCCCTGGTAGAGTGCTATAGTGTCATGGTCCACAGTAACCTCCAACTCTTGGGCTCAAGTGATCCTCTTGCCTCAGCCTCCCGAGTAGCTAGGAATATAGGCGCTTGCCACAACATCCAGCTATTTTTAGAGACAGGGTCTCATTCTTCCTCAGGCTGGTCTTGAACTTGTGAGCTCAAGTGATCCACCTGCTTTGTCCTCCCAGAGTGCTTGGGATTATAGATGTGAGCTACCATGCCCAATTCCTAGTTTGGACATTTTTTTTTTTTTTTTTGAGACAGAGCCTCAAGCTGTGCCCCTGGGTAGAGTGCCGTGGCATTACAGCTCACAGCAACCTCCAACTCCTGGGCTCAAGCGAGTCTCCTGCCTCCACCTCCCAAGTAGCTGGGACCACAGGCGCCCGCCACAACGCCCGGCTATTTTTTTGGTTGCAGCCGTCATTGTTGTTTGGCGGGTCCGGGCTGGGGATTCGAACCCGCCACCTTAGGTGTACGTGGCTGGCGCCTTAGCCGGTTGAGCTATGGGCGCCGAGCCCTAGTTTGGACATTTTAAGAATATCATATGTTGATACTACAACAATCCTCTGAGATGCTATTATAATTCCCAGTTGAGAAATACAAAAGCAATGATCAGAGAAGGTATTATATATCTTAAGGGTTATATCCTTTGAGTTAGACTCTTCAAAACCTATGCTTTTTCAGGGCGGTGCCTGTGGCTCAGTGATTAGGGCATTGGCCCCATACACTGAGGGTGGCGGGTTTAAATCTGGCCAGGCCAAACTGCAACAAAAAAATAGCCAGGCGTTGCGGCAGGCGCCCATAGTCCCAGCTACTTGGGAGGCTGACGCAGGAGAATTGCCTAAGCCCAGGAACTGGAGGTTGCTGTGAGCTAAGTGACACCATGGCACTCTACTGAGGGCCATAAAGTGAGACTGTTTCTACAAAAAAAAAAAAAGCAACCAACGAAAAACCCCAAACCTATGCTTTTTCTACCTATACACCATATTGCTTGTCTTATTTTTATTTTATTTTTTGGAGACAG